GTGATCACTGCTGCCAAGTGCCATTAACAGAAAGGCAGGCTCCTAAAAACATTAGCAGGTCTTCGTTTACCTTATTTGTGAGATCTGGCACCATGCAACTTGTGGACCTTCCCAAGTCAAAATGACCACGAAAAACAAACTTTTGAATCCACTCGGGAAAACGAGTCAGCCATTATAGCACAACTAAAGATACTCATGAAAAAGGACTTCAGAGGTGCTTTAGAAAATAGCGAAAATGAAGAGGTAAGTGTGTCCAAGGTATTCTGAAGGCCATTAACAGCAATCTGTCATTTATTGTAATAATTTTATCAATTTATACATTTGCTGTATTTTTCGATCGTACTTTCGGTCATTCCTTTTAACTGCAGAGTAACAACCCATTGCATGAATGAAATATTTTATTCTTTGTTCATTTTGTCTCAGTGGACATGTGTGCCGTTGTGAGCATCCTTGAAAAACTCTTTTGTGGGCCTCTTGTCTTTATTTCCTTTTAGTAAATACCTTAGGTAAATCTCTACATCACGAATAACATGTACAGTTTTAAAACTGTCAGACAATTCTTAATGTGATGGTACTGTTTTATATTTCTACCACTAATGTTATAAGCATTCTGACTGTTTACTCCCTCCTTTTATTTGACACTGTATATTTTTTAGTTTGAGCTTTTCTAATAGATAGGAAATACTCTCCAATTATAATTATAGTTGTTTTGTTCTGCTCTGTTAACTAAAGCTGGTGGACATTTTTCATATGCATGCTAACCACCTGCATATCTTCCTTTGTGATGTGTCTGTATGGGGCTTTTAACAATTTATGAAGTAGATAATCACTTTATTACTAGTATATTGAAATTCACTTTATATTGTAGATGGTGTGATTTCTTCAGCTGTTACAACTAGTATTCTTTTTCTTCAATATGTGAAATGACTAATCTTTTTTAACTCAGACCTTTGATGAACCAAAGTTATAAATTTTGAAACTATTCAGTGGACTGACTTTTTATGGCTCATGTTTACAGTATCTCATCAAAAAATCATTCTCTATATCAACATTATGAATATAATACTCTTAAATTTTCTTCTTGAAAATTTTTGTTTTTAATTTTTATATTGAGCATAAACATAAAAATAAATTTGAGGTGAACCAGAGATGCAGATTTGTTTTTAAATTTTGCATACTTATTTTTTCAGTATCATTTGGTAAAGAGACTTTATAATACACTGTAACAGGTTGATTTTGTCCAAAATCAGTGTACATTGATTTCTGGATTCACAATTTTATTCAACAGTTCTATGTTTTTAAAATTAATTTTAAACTATTTTTAATCTATTAAACTATTTTTAATATCATACTATTTTGATCACTAGAGTCCTGAAATCAAAAATATGAACAATCCAATTATTTCTTTGGAAGTTGTCCTTTTTGGTTCATTGTAGTTCATCATTAGTTTTAGCTTCAGCTGAGATTAGTATTGCTTTGAAGGTATAAATATATGTGTGGATAACAGACTGAAATAATTTTATATTTTCCTATCCTTGAATATTGTAGAGTTCTTATATGGTTTATACCTAGAATGTCCCCAAAAGACTCATCTATTCAGGAGCTGGTTTGGGGGGCCAACTGGATGCTTGTGGTGCTACACTTTTCAGAGCTGAGTGTGTTGTTAGGGGGTTGGGTCTAATGGGAAGATCTAGGTCACTGTAGGGTGACCTGGAAGCCTGTGTCTCTTCCCCAGCTTCTCCCTGCTCCCTCTGCCTCCTGACTGCCATGGCTTGAGCACCTGCCTATGCCAGACCCGCCTGCCATCTTTCCTCATGTGCTTCCTGCCCTGGAGCCAGCCAAGCACGGACTGAGAATCCGAGACAAAATAAACCTCCCTTTTAAGTGTCAGGTGTCGTGTCCCAGTGACAAAGAGACTGAGACAGTTCTCCTTGTGCTGCTCTAATGTAGGTGCAGCATTCCAAATTGTTTATCCGTGCAATGTGTTTCTATTTTCATTGCAGAGATCTTACACAAATATTGTTCAATTTATTCTCAACCATTAATGGTTTTTGATGGTATGAAAAATGAAAATTTCAAAATGGTGATATTTCTCATGCTTGGTACTAATATATAAAACTATGATAAATTTGTGAATCACGACCCTTATCATGTGAACTTGCATAAGTGTACTAATCAATAGGAATTTTTAAAAAATTCCTTTGGAGAGGTTTTATGTATATGGGAAAGATATCTTATAGAGCAGAATTTTGTCTTTTCCTTCTCAGTCATTCTGCTTATTTGTGTGATTTGCCTTATACTGGCTAAGATTTCCAGTGTAATAATAAGAAATCATGAAAGGATATATATATATATATATATATATATATATATATATATGGAAATTCATTTAGTATTTCATCATGATTAAAAATTTCAGTATAAATGAAGGTTTAATTTTGTCAAATGTTTTCATCTATTTAGATTACTATATACACCCATTTTTCTTTTCATTCCTTTTTGTTGTGATTAATGTGCTGAATTATATTGCTCGATGTCTGAATGTAAATCAATCTAGAATAGTTGGAATAATCCCTATTTCCAATGAAAAATGCTGTTGGATCTACTACACATTGATGTAATATTGATTTTAACAAACTTAAAAATACTTCATATCTTAATTTCTTGTCACTTGTAATTTAGGAGACTTTGCTTTTTAGAACCCTTTTAGGCTTAAAAAAGAAAGAAAACACAAAATTTCTTTTTCCCTGCTTTTCTCCAACTTTTATTGCTTCATCTATTATTTACAATCACAATTCATAGGCCAGTATTATTACATCACTATTAAGTAAAAACCTTAGTTTGCATTTGAGTTTACTTATGTAAACTCATTACATTATCTCATTACTTATGTAAACTCATTACATTATCTTATGTAAACTCCTACATTATCTGGATTTTAAAAGATGTAAAGTTACATGTAACCCCTATTACGGTGTCATACAGAATCGCTCCATTGACTTGAAAATCCCCTGGGGTCAGGGCTGTAGAGTCTGCTGTGTTTTGTCCTAATTACTCTGGGTGGTGGGGAATACAGGAATATTTTTCACCTTTATCATCATTATTGTTATATTCTTTCTCTTTATTAGTTTATGTTTGTGATTCATAATAATGAACATACATATCACATCGTCATGATTTGCATTCCCCTTCCAACCCTTTTCCCTGCAGCACAAAGTCTACCTCTCTATTTCCTACCATCCCTCCTTTATTCTGCTCTTTAAACTGCAGTCATAACTCGGTTGAAAACTCATAAAATCTGGTACTTCAAGCATTTTGATGCAAAAATTTTGTTCCAGTACCTGCCATCTCTTTGGTATTTGATTCAATTCTAGAACTTTTCGTGATTTTTTCCAGCCAAAGCAGTCTGTTTGCTGCTCGGCGTTTTCAGTACTGATCTCACTCAGGGGCTCAATTAAAAAGTACCAAAGTACCCCTGGATTTTAATTTTGGTTGAGGAGAACCATTTGATATTTAACCTTGTGTCTGACATATTTCTCTGCACTGTGGTCCTCAGGCGCACCAGTTTTCTTACCAAATTTATCCTTCTCCTTCCTGTCAACTTACTGTCTTCATGGTGTAATTTCTCTTTAGCTTGCATACGTTCTTTAGTGCCTTAAGTTCTTTCAGGTTTTGCCTACTGGATTGTCTTTTTCTCTTTGTTTTTGAAAGATATGCTGTACTTATATAGAATTTTTAATTCATGGGAGTTTTTTTATTTGAGCCTTTGAAAGATGTCATTTTATGGTCCTATCTATTTGATTTAGTGAGCATTCAGCTATAACTGTTCACCTTTTAATATTTTATGATTGCTTTTCCCACACTACTTTCAATATTTTCTGATAATCTTTGATTTTTGTGAATTTTACCTAAAATATTCCTAAGCATTATTTTGGCTTGGTGTTTGCTGAACTTCTTGGGGGTTTTAGGCTGATATGTCTTTTCAAGGAGAAAAGAGAATAAGACAAATGACAATTCAAATAAGATAATGTGTAGTTTTCCAAATTCAAAAAATATATCAACTTAAGTGGTATATATGTGTGTATATGTATATCCATATATGTATATATATCCAGCATATATATCCAAAGATCTCAGACACTTCTTGTGTTTCCTATACATCTTCTTGTGTTTTGGTTTGGATAATTTCAAGTTAACCTATTATTTTTCTTGATACTTCCAGGATGCCATTAAGTTTATGAAACACAGACTTTACATATTATGTCACATTTTTGATCCTTAGTGTTTCTGCTTATTTTTCTTTCAATATTTTTGTCCCTACTAAAACTGTCCTTCTGTTTAGACACATTCACATTTCCCACTGTCTCTACCATATCCTTGCATAGCTGTTTTAAAATCTCTTTCTCTGATGTTTCCAATATCTGAAACTTCTCTGGGTCCCTTTCTATTGAGGATTTCTTTCTTGACTGTGGATCACGTTTTCTTATTTCCTATCTCATAGTTTTTATGATATTAAAGTATTATGTGCAAAAGAATAATTGTGTAACAGTTTTTACTTCAGAGAAGTACATATTCTTATCCTGTAGGGTCTTTAATAACCACAGTTTTTACCGTTTTAATTAGTTTTAAGTTATCATGGTCTTAACATACTTCCAGGTCATGACTGAGATTTTTTTCTTTCATTTAAATTTGAGGTCTAAGCATAGGCAAAATTTTGGAGAGGATAATTTTCCATACCAAAATAAACAAACAAAAAATATTTGACTTGTGTGTGGTTTAAGTCTTAAAATAAAAAGGGACAGTTCTGTGTGCTGCCTTGACATCTAAAACCAGAGATCAGACAGACTAACCACAAATTCCCTTCGCTACTCTGCTTCCTGGGATAAGGTCTTGTAAAAGGGATCAAACACAATTCCTGTTTGTCCCTGAGTAGCAGTTTCCGTTCCCTGCCAGCCCATAGATCTATTCCATGAAACAAATTACATCCTACCTCAGGAGCCAGTGGCGCTGGACGCTCTTGCTCCACAAAGGCTGCCTCCCGCAGTCCTGGACTGATGACTGGGCTCCAGAGTGTAACCCTGGTGTGACCTGTGAGGCCAGGTCCTCTGTGAAGTTGTGCTTGTGCATACGAAGTACTGCTGTCTCATCCATCTAGGGTTGGTGTCTCATGTTCATCCATCCCCAGATGCTACAGAAGCATTCTTTCCTTACTAGTAGAATGAAAAGGGATGATTAAACCATCAAGAGGGGAGCTCTTCTACTTCTCGGTAAGAAGTCGTCTCTGTTAAGCAATCTATTCTTTTCAGATATCCATCTGGATTTCTGCACCTTCTATAATCTCTTCATCTCTCTCCATCCTCTTGCCTTACCTTCAGCCCATTGCTCTGCAGTGTGCTGTGCTCACTGAGGTCTCTGCATGTATCAATGTTATTATTTCAGTTTCCGGGCTCTTTACCCAGTGCTTAACCTATGTAGCACACTGTATTATCACAATCATGGCAAAATTTCTTGCTCTGCTTTCCACAGTCTTTTTGCAGAACACTTGTAACTCCTTTTTTTCCATATGAAAATTTTACAGTTTTGTGTGTGTGTGTGTGTGTGTGTGTGTGTGTGTGTATCGGTACCAGGGATCAAACTCACGACTGCCTGCTTGCAAGGAAGGTGCTTATGCCACTGAGCTAAATTCCCAGCCCCAACTTTTAGTGTTTTTAAACCATCATAAAATTGAAGAAATCTCAGAATCAGTTTTCTAAAATTATTTAACAGGGTCAGAGGAAGGCTACAACATAGTTTAATTGTTTTAAACTACTTTAAGAAAATAATAACTTCTCATGTGAAAAGTGAATCTGGGGGAAATAATTTCATATTCATAGAATTATATAAAAATATACATAAAAATGGCTTTGAATAATCCATAGCAAGACCTAGTGCGATCCTGTGTTTGGAATTCGATTTTAATTCACAGTTGTATTTTGTTTCAAGTTAATAAATATGTTTCAATATTTTTTCCTGTGTTTACAAAATTGATTCAAATGGATTATAAGGGGTGAAACAAACATAAACTGAATATCATATCATTATCATATATAACTGATTACCCATTTTGTAGTATAGATTCAATCTTATGTTGATGATATAAAGAAAAGTGATGCAAAAATCCCCTGATAGCATATCACATAATGAGTTACATGATTTCTTATAAAATTTTCAAGGTAAGTTGCCAAAATGGTAAGACATGATTTAATATAAAAGATCTAGTAGTAAATGAGGGTATAACAAAAGGCTGAAGGCTATGCAAACATAATGGTAAGTTTAATAATAGTATTTGGAGTATCTAGAGGAAGATGTGAACTGATTTTTCTTTACGCAGACTTCCTAGGAATATTAGGTTTTAAATCGCTGTTTGGTGACTATTGATGAGTCTCAGTAAGCAGAATTTGAAGCAAGGCCTCTGATAGTTTCCGCCCTACAAATGTTTTATGTGTCCAATTAAGGGCTGATCCATACGCCTAAACCCATCAAAAGAGCTGGATATTCTCTAGGGATCCAGAGCACAGGATTGCTTAGCGGATCAATAATGAGACACAGAACCTTTAGCCTTTTGATCCCAGGGTCAATTGTACACTTGCAAAGAGGTGAATAAAAGGCATTCTTGGTCAATACCTTACAAGAAATGAAGTGAATTGCTTAATAATATCATTGAATTTTGTTGCCATTTGATAGCTATTTAATATCAGTTATAGATATTATAACTGATTCCCCGTTATCACGAAAGTGTACTGATTTTGATCAGGATTAAGGTAGTCTTTTCAATCACAGAATCAAATAAAATTTAAACAAACCAAACTATGAGTGCCACCTGTTTGTTGATAAATGTTCTGGACTTCGACCAAGTCTAAGGAAACTGATTCAAAATTGTACATCAGACACAGTTTACTTGAATCTTCTGGAATTACTCTTCCACTACAAGCCACAGGTCATTGCTCCACTTTTTCAGATTAAGAAGATACAAAGCCTTGCTCTTAATACTGATTGTATTGTAAAAATTATACTGTTTCATTGCTCTTCTTAGTAACTATTTGCTGCCTAGAAAGTCTGAATCATAATCTTTTGCTCTTTTACTAATGCAAAGTTTTACTAATGCATATTCAGTTGGGTCTGCTGAGTTTAAATAACCTCACATTACACATGCCCTAGTAAAGTCTGCAATGTGTTCATATCAATGAGTCGCAAAGACTGGAGGAGAAAAGGTGTTAACAAATAATAACTCAGGGAAAACAAGGTTTCACATCAACTTCTTGTTTTGTGTGTCCAGAATTAAGAACAAGAGCACATTTCTACAATAATATATAGCAAAACAAGGATTAACTTCCTATTTTCCAATTCTGAGAGAAAAAAAAATCTTTGTTCAATGTTTAGCTAGAGCCTAGTGCCTGAAAAAGAGGTTGACAGAAAGATTAACTACACATACATTATGCCTTCAAATACCATGTTATGGGACATAAGCAAATTGACACTCAAGAATATTCTTTTATTTCTTTCACAATCTTAGTCCTTAAAAAGGAGTACCTTGTGCCAGTTGGTTTAGAAAGTGAGTAAATGAGTGAATTAATACATATCTGTCCAAAGTATCTGGAGGGGAATCTTGCAGATAAGTTTAATTGAAGCCTAAGAATCAGATATTTACTAAAGAAATAAAATCATAAATTCCATGAGTTCTATTTACTAGAAAAGTAATCCTAGAAGACTCCTTGATCATTTCAGTTCTGTGTTATGTACAATTAAAATACTTTTTGGACTACAGTAGAAGTATAAAAACCATCGAATATGATCTTATTTTAATTTTTTCATTTAACTCATTTTTTCATGTTTTCAGTAATAAAAAAATTGACACCCACAATTAGAAGATAGGTTTCAAAAATGGAGAAAGTAAAATTTTGATTATTTATGGTATTAGTTGGTATCGGTAAAAATTCTAAGTAAAATTTAAAATAAGTTTCTTGTACACTTTTATAATTCAGTAATTCCTTGCTATTTCTTACAATCACTAGGATTAACTTCAAGCGATGATATGGCTAAAGCATTTTTAAAACATAGTGTTGCTATAGCTTGTGTCTAGATGTTCTCATGCAGTCATAGGTGGGGCTTTTTCAGGGAGGGTGATGCTGGAGTGTGTGACTGATTCATGGTCCTGGGAGTCGAGGGTGCACCGATTAAGGATCAATGATTACTAAGCCAGCCCGCTGATTGATTTGCACCACCCTAACCCTACAGTTAAGGTACAAAACAAGGGACAAAAAAAGGCTTGGCTTGCCCCTTTTCACTTGCTTTGCTACCCGCTTCCTCCAGGAACTGTGTTTCCCTCTGCAATGCCTGTCCGCTATGCCACCCTGCTCTGGAGCCAGCTGATTATGGACGGAAACTTTAATAAATTGTATTAAACCCTTCTCCCTTCAACTTTGGGAGAGAAATGAGAAAAAGTAGCCAACACAAGTGTTTTACATTTAATAAGTTCATCCCCATTATAAAGGGAAGGACAGACATTGCAAACAAGTTTTTGAATGTGTCTATGCAAAGATATTCATTTGAACAAAATGTGGCTTTGGGGTATGGAGCAGTGTAGAAGAATTAAGGTTTTTTTCTCAATTTTCTTATATAGCAGAAAAAATTGTTAACTTCTTCTATTCAGCATATTATCACAGAATTCCATACTCCCCATTGCCAACATGAACTCTTTTTCAATGAAACATGAGGTCATATAAGAAAGGAGAGTCACGTTGTGCTTTTCCTTTGGGTTTTCCTAATGACTGCCTGTGTTTTACCATTTACCCTCAGCTTTGTCAGAGGTCCTGCACCACAGCCAGAGATCCACTCCAGCAGAAGTCACAGATCACACACACACAAAAGAAAAACACCCTGCAGAAACAGGAAATCGCACTTCCTGATTCCCTACAGAGCGCAGAAACCTGTTTCCTCTACACACCCCGAGTGGGTGAAGCGAAACTCTGTCCTAGCACATTCACTGTGGAAACAGCTATCAAAAAGTCTGGAAGGGCTTTGTCTCCCAATTTTACATGACGCTTTTGGCTTCAAACTACTGAGATGAACGGAGCAAAGTTATTTGTCCTCCTCTCCAGTTTATGGAGTGGGGGCATTGGGCTTGACCACACTGAGCATCCTTGGACTACCCCTGAGGATGAAAACTCCCACAAGAAGATGACTTCTCTTTGGGATCCTGTCAATAAGACACAAAGTCTTCAAATGCTTTCTACCACTCAGAGCCCATCAGCTAAGATATCTCCAGCTCCTGTGCTGGGAACATCTGAAGTGCATCCTCTGCAATCAACATTGCCTCCCTCAGAGTCTAGCTGGACCTCCCAGAGTGCGAGAAACCAAACAGCCACAGCCACAGGGAAAACAGAAGGGGAGGTAGAGTCACCAAAGCTTGCCTTTCCAAACAGAGCTAATGCCAGCTTCAAACCTGAAGCAGAGACAGTAGAGCTTTCCAATTCTACACTGAAATTTCTTCAAAGCTTTGCCAGAAAGTCAGATCAACAAGCAAACTCTCCAAAATCAGCTGGTGACCTGGGAAATCGATCCCCTCGGGAAACATACCCCAGCAGAGGTGATAGTGTTCAAAGCCAAAGAACCACCACTCGAAAATCCAGTTTTGAAACAACTAGAGGAAAGTAAGGTTTTCTTCTTCTTTTTTACTTTCTCTGATTGTAAAATTTTAAATGAACAGTTAAACTGTCTCACTCAAAATTGTATCAGGTGCAAAATAAAATCAAATCATAGTTTTAATTTCAGCATTACAGTTGTTATCTTATGTCAAAAAATGCATAAGTAGAAGGTAGCAATTTTAGCCAAAATAATCGAAGTCACTTTTCTATGCACTTACACAAGGACCATCACCTGGATGGTCGCTACCAAAATAGCACCAATGTGGCTATTTAATTCTACTCAAAGAAATGTTCGTTGTGCCCAAAACTATATCCAAAATATGAAAGAAAAATTAACAAAATTTGACATATACAGATCTGAAAATTGGAGTGAGATGTTGTGAAAGGTATAGTTATTAAGGGCCACACCAAACCAACTGAGCTGTTGTGCACCATAAATCCATGTAATTGAACCTGGTTTGTAGCCTATTTAGATCCATGACTTTGCACAAATCAAATTATTTTCTTGGGTCTCAGTTTCTTCCTGTTTAAAATAGTGGTACTATGCATGGGATGCAGATAAAAAAATACAATTTTGCAACAGTATAATAAAGATTCAAGTTAATTGATGCTTCTCCTAGAAAAATGCTCAACAAATAATATTTTATATACTTTTATTATATTGTGTTTGTTAACATGAATGTGATGAATTGGAAAGCCTATGTTTCACAAAATTTTATTTAGTTACAGCAATTTGAATTTTTCAACTAAAATAATAAAACTAAGTTTAAAGGAATATTGTTGAGAAGGTTTTCAAATGGCCCACAAACCAAAGACAGGAAAAATCATACCTGATCATATCAATGTTTTCCTCATTCACTAGCCAGTCATACGTAGTTGAGAATGCTAGAAGTTCAGTGGTACAGAACTAAACTTACAAATACATTTTCCAACAGTAAAACAATTTTAAAGTGGTTCTGAAATGATGCCTTGGGAGCTAAATTGAATAAAACATTTTCAATAAAAGTATAGCAAAACTCAAGTGAAGAATAGGAGTTGATACCTGCTACTTGAAAAGCATTGATCTGAGCTATTGTTGTACAGAGATGAGGGAGAGAGACTGGGAAGCAGGTAATGGATTTGTAGGTATGCATTCTGCTCTTCATTGTAAGTCAGTTTTTTCATTATATTTCAAGGGTTTGAGAATATACAAGTAATTCTGATTTTAACTAAAATTTTGATTATTCACTTAGAATTTGGAACAATCCAAATTAAATGCAAAACAAATATTATGATTATAAAAATGTTTAACTTGAAATGAGTAGATTTTATCTATAATAGACATATATTAAACTTTCTCATTTGGGGGACAACAGGATGTGTTTGTTTAATAATTGTAAATATCCTTTGTTGAGACCTCTTTCTCAATTGTTTACATGCACCATTTTTACTAGACATACTAGCATCTGAAATCTTATTTTCTTTAAATTTTATTTAGAACTCAGTCATAAGCAAGTACTATGAGATTTTCAGAGATGCTGTAGCCAGGAGTTGTTTTAAATAAGATAGAAAATATAATAAATTAACAAAGATAATTCAACAGAAATACAAGTTGAATTTTATGTAACATACAAGAAACGGCATATTGTGTCATAAATAAAACTAGTAATTAACAATTGGATAAATAGTAGCTCATGAACAGATGATAGTTATTTTATCCAAAACCCTTACTTTCCTAAGCTTGGGAAAATTTATTTGATGATTGGCTATAAATTGCCTGTCATGTCTTTAACACTGTTCTAGGCTCTCAATACACCTAGAATTTTTAAAATAGTAATAAATTACTGCCTCTAAGAAATATTTACTATAAAAAGTAAACACCAATATAATCTATCTAATTTTTATTCAATGAGTTATAGGAAAACCACGTAATAAGTGTAATTATCTAAACAATTTCATCATATGAATTTTCCAATGTAAGTAATATTAAATTTCTATGGAAAAATAGCACTATACAATTTGATATTCTGAGGATTTCTCTTTTTAATCCTTCTCATTTCCAACTCATTGTTCATGCAAAAGACAAACGCATTAAGGAAAACATAGGTTCTTCTCTTCTGGACAGTGCTGGCCCAAGAAGGCCTTGATAAGATTGAAAGAAGTCTTTAAAATTTTCATTTGATTAGTAAAATATAATGATGGTGGTGGCATTGTGTATGGTCACACAAGCCTATAATACCAGCTACTCCGGAAGCAGGCCAGGAGGGTCATGATTTTAAGGGTCAGCCTGGGCAACACCAGAGACCCTTCACCAGAGAGAGAAGGAGAGAGAGAGAGAGAGAGAGAGAGAGAGAGAGAGAGCGCATAATAGTCATACATTTACATGACATATATTCCTAATACCATATTATTCCATTCTGAGTGACTACTATATTTTTTAACTCACATAACTCCAAAGGAAGAAGTTTCTGTCACAATTTCTTTATGCGGAGATTAAAGAACTCACCTAAGGTGTCTTGGCTAGCAACCCTTTGGACAAAGTTTCAAAGCCAAGGCGGCTGGTTTCCAAGTCTTGGTACTCAACTCCTATAATATAATTCCCTGTCATGTATAGTTTATCATCACAAGTGGGAAAACTAGAATGAGCAGTTCACTTCCTTCTTGTGAGCCTTCAGAGGCTGTTGGATACCTCCAGAACGGAGTCGGTATTCATTAGCGAGTTGTGTCCCCATCACCTACTGCCTGCCTATTTCCTTAACCTCATCTCTTCTATCTCCTGCATAATTAAATTTGTAGTTCTCAGATCCAACATATATTGTTTGAGAAATAACTCTACTTTTCCTCTAGCTTGTCTCTTTAGATAGCATGGTCTACATTTTTCCCTCATCTACTGCTTTTATACCTAATAATACTTCCCCAATAATAATACTTTTATTCTTTATACTTACTCAATAATAATACATTCTTATACCTCATAATATTTCCTCAATAATAATACTTTTATACTTATAATACTTCTTGGATAATATTTTATACCTCATAATATTTTCTCAATCATATGTACTTTATAATAGCTCCTCAATAATACTTTTATACCTCATAATACTTCCTCAATAATAATAATTTTATACTTCAGTACTTCTTCAATAGTAATAATTTTGTAGCTCATAGTAATATATAATAATGCAGCTTCTCACCTGCTAGGTTAGCTGTCCCTGCTAAGTGCTCCTGTGACTCTGAATTCTGAATTCTTCCACTGCACTTGTAGCAGTGAACAATAATAATGAACTTGCTGTTTCTTTGCTTATTGGATCATACTTTCAGTGATGATAAAGATATATCTGATTTACATAAGGTTACTAATAAATACTTAACCAAGATGAATGTGAAATATGAATCAGTATATGAATATGGAGAAGAATTCTTCCCAAGGAAATACTCTTCCATGAAGTAATCTAGTTGATTCATTGTAAATTCATCATCTTTTTCCTCCATCTATCACTTTTAGAATTTTATAATAATTCTTTTTTACTTTTTAAATAATAATCTTAAGGTAGGTTTGTTTTTACAGATGACTGTGGCATAATTTTGTGCATTCTTGTTTTCTCTGGTATTTTGGCACTGCAGAAACTCAGCGACACCAGAGTTGTGGTTTCCTCTTTGGCACACTGAGTGTTCATAAATGACCAAGCACTTTGAAATAGGATACAAAGAAGTTAGGATTAGTATGTTGACGTCTTGAACCAATATTTGCTGAGAATCTAGGGTGTTCCTAGCACCATGGTTGTGCTAGTAGTAAAATAGTGAACAAAAATCTCTCCATGATGCACCTTTGTGACCTACAGCAGACCCAGAAGGACGAAAGAGAAAAATTCTAAGTCACAAGTACTGATGTTGAATCAAATAGTGGGGAGATTCTGAAGGAATCTGGTGAGAGGATGAATGGGTTAATCATCCTGAATGGAGTCAGTAGCCCATGCCTCAGATGATAGTAAGTAATGAGTTACTCAGATTATTCAACTGCCTACTTGACCCATATTCTATAACCCTGCACATGCATACTTTAATAGCTGGAAATTGTAGATGTATCCTTTACATTTTTCTTTCCCGCCTAATGTTTATCTAATCCATCAACAAGTTTGACCCACTAGTATATTTCAAATCCCAACATGGAGTTTCTTTCCATTTTAGCTACCAAAATCCTGTTGCTATTCATCATTGTCCACCACTGATGTCCTAAGTGACCCATACCCTTCCAGTCTGGCCTCTTATAGTCTACTCTCTTTGCAAGTGAGAGTTTTTTTTAATGTTTAAATTGATGAATGCACTTCACCAAATATAATACTTCATTATTCTAGGTTGCACATTATTTTAGGTGCAAATAAGATGAAAAAGAATAACATCTACTTAGAAGTTTTAGATTTATTTCTTTCAGGCTTTTAAGATTTTTTGCCATATATCATTTTTTGCAAACTCAAAACTATAAATGAAACTGATTAAGGTATTTCTAAAACAGTGACAACAACTACTATCTAATAGTAAATTTTAAAAAATACTGATGATTTCCAAACACGTTCTTGATTCACAGAGAAGTGTGCCTTAAACTCTGTGAGATTTGGTTTCTCGCTGCCACACTGTCAGCTCACTTTACTTTATTTCCTGGGAGCACACTGGCCTGCTGTCTGCTCCCTGGTCCTATCGAGTTAATGTGCATCTGTAGGAAACTCCTTCCTGTCTTCCTCTTGATGCAAGTGATCAACAGTATGGAATTTCCGCTCTGTCACTATTGCATACTCTTCCTTCAGCACTTAGGCTGAGAGGCTCCTTTTGAACTTGCAGGTGCAGCTCTAATCAAAAGACCTTCTCTGACAATTGAAGGAAAGCTTTCCATTCTCTTGCTCATTATTCCTAACTTATCAGCCTTATTTCACTCACAGCATTTATTTCAAATTGTTCTGTCTATATAGACACTGGCTATAAATATAAATTGGGCAAAGTACTAGTGTATAGAATTGTATTAATTCATG